GATGGGTCAGTAGGACTCTGCTGACTGTAAAACAACAGGCAAAGTCTGACAGATCAAGCTGAGGAAATACTGACAGTGAATTCAGTTTATACCAAAGTTACCTCTAATCATTGGCTTCAAAGCCTTGTCTGGGTCATGTTCACTTGGGCAGCTCAACCCACGCCCTTCAAAGCCTCTAACATTCTCTTCTGTATTATCACTGTTATTTACAGTTATTTTCAGTAACGAAACATCCCTGAGTGGCATAGAGTGCAACGTTCGCATCAAGCAGTGATTGTCATTTACGAAGCGTGAAACTTAAAGAGTAAAGATGAGGACGGGGCCTCCAGTATGCTGTTCCTAATGGATGTCAGAGATAGGATTTAGTTTCTAGAGTGTAGGCAGAAGGTGCTGGGACAAGCTGGTAGGCGTAAATAGACTACAATTTTATGGCCAGGGAAAAGCAAGCTGCTCTGTCTCAGAGTTCCGTTTCACACATCCTTAGACATAATGAATTGGACAAAAAAAAAATTTTGTGTTTCAGTTTGATCTTATGTGCTATATTCCTGGGATGTCCAAAAGACAATGACTGAAAATAGGAACCACCTTCCAGGCTGGACCTTAGCTCTTCTGGAAACAGCACAACCAATGCAGAGTCAGGAGGGAGGAGGAGGATTGGGGGAGCCTGAACATCTTCCAAATGATGTTTGAAACTCAGCTTCAGAGGGGTCAAAAAAGTCAACAGGGAAAGGAGCCATCAGCTGCACAACTCTAGCTAAGCTGCCGGACCAGTTTGTGAGACTGCTGCAATCTTAAAGAAGCTCGTACAGCCTGGTAGAGGGAGGCCAAGAGGCTCACACACGGGAGCAGCTTTGCATCCTTTTTGTGTAGAAGTTGTTACATCAGAAACCCTGCAAACTGTCCCAAAGGGAAACACACCCCTACGCAATCTGGCAACGTGAAACCGAACAAAGAAAATCACATAACAAAGCTCACCTTCATGGGCAGCTCTGGTAGCTGCTCCACCTCAGCACCATAACCTGGAACAGGTACTGAAATAGCACAGGTGCCCAAGGTGCAGCAGGAGAATAAAGTGACCCCTGTGAAACTGGGCTGAAATGGACAACACGGAGCATGAAGTCAAGGCATTCAGGAGAGCCTTCTGCTCTTCTGCTCAACAGAGCTCAAGAGGGACCTCTTAATGCCAAGGGCCCCCAGTCTTGCTATCAGTTGAGAAATGCCTCAGTTTTTATTGACGTTACTTAGAGCTAAGTGTCTGACAACTTGCAGAATCAGTTCATTAAAGCTGTTCATTCACAAGCCAATCAAAAACTGTATGTTGCTTTCAGAAACAGGTTTTCTCAACTGAGGTGCCTTCTACTACCATGTTTCTTTTCTAGCAATTTCCATTAGAAGGAAACATGAATCTTAAAATTAATTCTTTATAAAAAGAGCAGGCAAGAGAGATATTTACAGCAAAATTAAGTCTTTGTGGTAGTATAATGAACACTGTACATCCGCTTCCTCAATGCCAAGGGTAATTTAGCATATTACTGGAGAGCAATGCTAGAAGCAGTAGATTCAATACATGCTTTAAATATATGCTTTAAATATGCTTTTGTTACAGGTCCCAGGTTAATCAATCATTAAAAAATGTGTCTCGTTTGAAAAGTTTGTCACTAAAAAAATCAACAAACATATCCAGTTACTACAGAAAAAAGATGTGACAAAGTTTAGTTTTAGACACTTATTTGAAAAGTTTCAGGTTTTACCGTGGCCTACGGAAGGCCAAAAAAAAACTAAAATGAAGAACTAATATTGTAAATTGTTGAGTTATTTACTAAAATTCGTGTTATTTTATCCTTAAAAGTCCATGGACAACTTGAATACAACTTGAAGTCCAATATCAAGAAATTGAAATTTTGAGGGTAAGGGACTGTGTCAGCAACACCAATCACAAAAATCCAGCCTGTGGCATGTGATCATCATGTGTTGTTCTACACTCAGTCAATGAAGGACAAAAGAGGTACTATACCTATGTGGCCAAGTGACAGAAAATTAAACAAAACCTAATTGCGGTTACCGCAGCACAGTTCCATAAACAAATAGTGTTTGAAAATGACTTTTCATTTTCCAAGTAAACCACAACACTATTTGCTCAAATCCTGTACTAATAGTAACAAAAATTTGTTTGGCAATACATGAAAATCTTGCTAGAGGTTATTGCCTACCAACAACAATGAAGATCTTGTATGGCAGAGTATTAGAAGTTTTAGGACAAAAGCCAAGAATCCACTTTTATTTCTAAACAGGATATTTCTACCTTTGTGGTCTCTCACAAATTACTTAACCTTTTTTCTTTCATTGCCACATCTTTAAAATGCGATCATAATCACTACTGATTGGAAAGATCATGACATTGCAGTGATATAAGAATAGTGCTTTAAAGATTAAAGGCCCTGCAGCTAATGATTAGTGTCATTTTCACTGGTGACTTCCATTTAGTTATCTTGCCTGAGAAGTAATTCAAAAATCCCAAGAAGTGATTAGCTTATTAGAGAAGAAAACAACATTTTCAAGATGTAACACACAATTGTGAAGGACTATTTATAAACATGACAAACCTCTTTATTAAGCAGCACTACGAACAGTAGTATTTATCACTTATTATATATTTCTATGGGTTTGCTAAATATATACTTTTGATATACTGTAAATGAATTTATAAAATATTTTAAACAACATGTGTGCTTGTGTTGGGAAATCAAGAAAAACATGAATCCCCTGCAATTAAAACTGAGCACTTCTAGAGTTCAATATGACTCAATTTTTCCCCTGATAAATCTACAGAAATATTATGTAGACGTTAAGTTTTGATAGACACATACTTGAAATTTGGGATCCCTTTCTTGGATTTCCCATACAAAATGGGCTGCAAACAGGTAAATCACCATATAAAGGAATGTCAGTATTCCAGTTAGACTGGTATAACGAAGCATCAGGAGAAGTGTTTTATTATGTTAATTGAAGACATTTTAAGGTAGTCACTAGAGAAATGTGCTCTGAATTTGGAGTAAAAAAGGCAACTTTAGTAACTGCTGTTCTATAGCATTAAGCAATTTTGAAGAGTATGTCACATTTGCCATGAAATACAACTAAATTTGCTGGACAGATTTTTTTTCTAAGTTGTAATGGACCTGCACAGAAACATTTATTAGCTGAGAGTTTGCAACTACTCTTGTACCTGTTCTGGCATTGCTAAAGCAGAACAAACAAATTGTGATATTCTCTAGACTTGATTATGCCACAAAATACATATACAAACTTGCAAACTGACTGATGGAAGACAGGGAGAACTCCTCAAAGTACTTGAAATAGCCTGTGAATTATCTGCTCATGCAGAAAAGAGAAGCCTGAGACCAGAGTCACACAAGGCATTAAGTTATCACTACAACAGACTGATTTTCTTCACCCACCCCTGGGCCCATCTGTGTCCCTGTGGGCTCCCTGTGACACTGCCCCTCCATGAGCCTGGCAAACAGGCAGGTCCTTTATGCTTCCCCTTGCCTTGCCTCAGATTGCACTAGTTTCTGCGTGGTTTGAAATAAAGAAACATATCTGCGTGTGATCCTGCCTTCACTTTCTTCTCTACTGCCTGCTTTGTCTTATTTCTGCTCTATGCCCTTCGCTGGCATCCCAGGAGGAGACTGCTCTGAAAAAGTTCACAATGGGTAAAAGGGTGGTAAAGAGAGATGCAGCAGAAACTGAATCCCTCTTTCAAAGCTAAAACGTCTGTGTTTTGTACTACTGGTAGAATGTAGATACATTAATAATGACTGCTGATTAAACTTAATTAATCCACAAGATTAATTCCATGGCAGCCTTCCACTCCCCTCTGTGTTTGCCTTTGGTTTTGCAAGCAAATGCACATACAGTAAATTCAGAGACAGACAAAAAGAAAGCTCCAATCCTTTGCTCCACTCCTGAAATGCATCTAAAATAAATCCTATATATGCATATATATATATATACAGTTATATACAGACAGATTTATACATACATATCTGCATGTGTTTAAAACATACACAGATGTATGAGTGTAATGGAAACCATCAGTCCCATCTAGATGATGACTGTCAGAAACAGTGACAATTATACTGTTGTCTGTAGTAACCACGGACTTCACTCACTTCTTACTTCCTCCTTCCCTCCTTTCCTTCCTCTTCAGAGATACATTTTAGGATTGCCATGGTTTTCACTGAGCTTACTACCTATCTTTCTAATGAGTTCAGCAAAAACAAACCAAAACTTGAAGCTACTTTTCAAAGCAGTATATATAAAACAAAATCATGTATGAAATCACAAAAATGTACATATGGGATTGTCTACATTTTTACTCAATGTTTCAGATACTTTACTGAGATCAGGTCCTACTATGTTCACTTTTATATACGTTCCATCCCTGTAACAGTGAGAAAATTTAAAAAAAAAAATCCTATTCCTCTTTTCACTAAAACCATCCAGACAAGGCTTTTGTACCATTGATACATTCCTGATGTTTGATTTACACACAGCACACATGCACTACATTACACAAATCTCAGAAGTGATCCTGTCATTACACATTGGCAGCTGACAATTTGGCAAAGCAAATCTTGATTGCCCAGAGTAAATCTAATACATTACTTGGAGAGTATGAAATACATGACGGCTGGGTTGAGCATCCTTTAAATGTAGGCATGTTATTTTAAGTTACAGCATGTATGCAGATAATGCATACATACGTATATACATACATACACTCATATATGCATATATATGTGAGTGTGTGTGTCTTCCATATATGCACCATAATTTCCAGGACAGCTACAAATTTCCACATGCATTAAACTATCTAAAAACATAGAACTAGGCAGTCTAATAAGTGGAATTTTCTTAAATTATATTTTAACAATAAACAGCAAGAGTAATACTGCAAAGTACTGCTCTATTATCATGTTTATCTACAATAAAATTCTAGGAACAGTTGTCTCCCAAAACATCCCCCAATAAAAGTAAATTAAAAAAAAAAAGGTAACACCCAGTGTCCTATATTTGTATATTCATTGTCAGTTCAAAAATTAAAAAAAAAAAAAAAAAAAAAAAAAAAAAAGAAAACAAAAGAGAGAAAAGACATCCCCACTCAGAGTTGCATATTTACATTCTTCAAACTGTAGCGGTGAAAAATAATTCTATTAAGTGCAGGACATTCCTAGTGTTGCAGTAGTGACATTTTTAATAATTTCTTCATGAAAACATTTCTCTTTGTCTTACTAGTGATGCATTCCATGACTACGTGAAAATTCTATTATCCCCTTCACTTGCAGCCAGTGGTTGAGTCTGGATTGAAAAGCTCCTTGTATAATGGAGGAAACAGTGTGTTCACTATGTCTGGATGAGATTGCTTAAATACCTGCAGTTTCTCTCCGTGCAAGTTGCAAAGTGCAGTAATCGTTGGTATCTTGGCTATTAACTGTAAGACATTGAAACAGAACAAAGGAAGAAGGTGGAAGCATATTTTGTATAAATTACACTTTCCAAAACAAACTATGTTAGCTTTTTGCTGAGTATCTGAAAGCGATACTCTAAGCTCCATCAAAACCCACCCACAGGACTAGATATTGTTCTTACTGTGAGAGCCTAGAAACAGCTGCCCCCAAAGTTTTAGGCAAGGGCATCTAACAAGGAACAGTCTCAACGAGCACATTTTTAAGAGAGTCACATTCTTTAACGGGTATGAATTAAAATTATTGGTATACTGAACAAAAAATGGAGTAAGAGGCAACAGGGACAAGAGTCAGACAAGCCTATACACATGGCAGAAACACAGTGCATTTCTTTTAGCTTACATTAATGCGGCAATACATACAGAAATGGCTGCAGAAAGAGAGGAGTCATGCTTGAGGACTGCTTGGTATTTTGTTTAAAAAACTTACCTTTGTCAATGTCTCCTCGTCGAGGTGGTTCTTCTGAATAACATGTTGAAGTGCAAAGTAAATCTTTTCCTGAAGCTTTTGGACCTTCCTTGGCTCTATTAACCAGGCTCGATCTGAGAAAAGGGAAAACAAAAGTTAAAGAAAGTTAAAGATGTGCATTCTCATGGTGCACACAGGGTACTGTGCTGGCAAATATCCACAGGAATTGTAAATCTCATGAGGGAGGACTGCATCGTAATTAAAGACATGGTTTCAGAGGTAAAATGTCTTAACCCATTAAAGGATCACCTGAGCACTTAATTAACACATACAAAACATACAGGAACACAGTGTTGGCTCTGCATCTATTTGTTCAAAACAGGATGCTAGGCATAAAGATAGGAACAGAAATGAAACATGGCTCAACATTTTATTATTCTCTATTGGTACAGTCAGTGTTCTAATTTCATACTGGCTAGGTGATAAACATGTCATGTTATCTCAATGTCTTGATACATAAATAATAAACTTGCTGATCAAAATAGTTCTTTGAAAATAAGATAATTATTCAAACATTAATATATCTCATTAATTACTAGGCTAATATTGTGAGAAAAAATATATTCTAAATAAAAATAAAAGGCTTCCTTCAATAGAATTTTTTCAATAATTCAAAAGAATTGCAAAGTGCAAGTTCCTCATTATTTAAAAATGTTCTCTTCTTAAACAACCCAAAATACAAGATAATCTGGAAGAATAACAGCAACACCGCTGTTTTAAAACCCATATGGTTCTACTGGACTCAAATCCCACTCGCAGGAGGCTGTCCTTACGATCTGTATTTTCACAAGCCATAGGTTCTGGAGAAAACACACAGAAAGAGAAGCAGCAGACCCCAAGACAATCCAAACCCATTCATGCTTGCAGCATCACTGAACCTTCTGTTTTCCTACAATGCAAACTATTTTATTCTCCCTCAATCCAGACCAATTCTTGGGTATAGATTTTAGCTTTTGTTACGGGAAATAGGAAAAATTCTTTCATCACAGGCATGAATCTTCATGTACAAATTGAAAAATTCAGGAAACACCCCTTTCACTTTTCTTTCGCACACTACCCATCATTAAATAAGTCACACAAATGAATTTAGTTAACCACTTCAATGAACACACATGCCACACAGGCTGGAACTGAGCAACATCTCATCCTAGGAGTAGAACAATTCTGCCATTTGTCTGACTGTCCCTGGGGAGGGATATACGGAAAAGAGTTGGTTGTCAAGTACTGTGAAAAGGAAAAAACCAAACCCCAGCTACTTAACAGATGATCAGGAAAAGAAAACTGTATTTTGTAAACATTAGAGAACTGTGTTCCCTGAAAGTAAGCCAATGGATCTTGTGCCATCAGTGGCCATAGAAATAGAATTAGCTGAGAACACATGCACTTTCTACACAATAAGCACACAATCATGATTAGACTTCACAGGTTAGGTGCCAAACTTTATGCTATTGCAAAACCTGGTCTTTAAATAGTGTTAAATTAATGCCTATTGTGGCAGACTGGAGCTAGAAATATTTACCATAGAGACCAATCCCTAAAGGTTTACCTTTCTTCTCAAGAATAAGGTTAAAAATAGACAGAGGTGGTTGAAAGACAGGTTCATCACTCACCTGTCATGAAGCATGCTGTATATTACACAAGAGTTCTTGAATTCATGACAAGAGCTAGTTAAACCTTTTTAATGGATGCTAAGTTTATCTCCCAAAATGCGTTTCCTGCCACCTGAACACCATCTGTAAATTTGGCTGGAATTTCAGAGGTAACTCTAGCTATATTCACAGAAGTGCAGCAAAAAGTCAGTAGATCAGTGACCACCTTTAAAGGACATAAGAAGCAGCGATTTAATAGTGTACTTTTTCTCCTGGGTTTTGAACTTGTCCATCTTCAAAGAGTATGCTGTCCACTAGACTAGAGAACAGTGTAGGAAAGAAGATGAGAGACAGCTCAGAAACAGACAAGATCTGCTTTTGCCAAAAGGAAGATGGGAAGAAGGAAAATGCCAAATCAAAGTCTCAGGAGAGGGACTGGCACAAGTGAGCAGCCATGTTCCTGCCTTACCACATGCCTCTTTTGTATGTTTAAAGGTGGAGATGCCTCTGCAGCCCTTACTGGATTTGTACAACATTTCAGCTTTTGAAATCACAAATCAAGCTAGAGAATCACCTTCAAGCAGTGTGGTTATGTTCATCGTGAAATGGAAAATCTGGATTTGTGCTCTGAATTAGATGGAAAATGGATGAGACAATGTCCTTTGCAAGACTTGCAAAACTACTGATGGATGTTACTTATGGATGCCCTTCTCAGGTGCCCTTATTCCCAGTGGACTGCTCTGGTTTCTGTAAGGGGCCTAAACACAGAGATGAAGGCTGCAAGAACTACCTTTCAGGTGGTGACTTCAGAAAAGAAACCTGAATAAGAGTACTTCCTATGCAGAATCCTTGTACGCTTGTATTAGTTAATAAAAGGACTGGTGCAGGAACTTCTGTGAAGCAGTGCTTTATTTTTAAATTTGTTCCCATGATGAAACTCTTTATTGTGAAGGAACCAGAACATCAAGTGTGGAAGGAAATATTTATTTCTCTATTGTTTATGGAAGAAAGATTGCTTTCACTCATGCACATGCTCCTGCAGCCCATAATTTCCTTCTTGCTGCGTCTTAGGACTAGTTACACATGCTCACACACTACAGTCTGCATACACCAAACACTTTTGTTCGATTTAATTTTATTTATTTTTTTTTAGCTAAAGCAATAGGAGATGTTGCATGTATCCTCTGGCTTGCAAACTAAAGGGACATATGCAGAACTGCAGAAATTAATCAGAATTTTGATTCCACCTAATTTTTCTAACAGCTAGCACCCTCTGCCACCCACCCAGCTTTGATCTTTTCAGACTGAGAGAGTAATGATGGGCAGAGACCCATCGGAACATTGCTGTCCCAGAGAAAGTCAGGACATCTCGGGGGGTAGTGCAGAGGCAGCTCTCACACCTACACACAGCGGGGACACCTTTGAGGTGGAAATCGTCAGTGTTTGGAGGGTTGTAGGTGCAATATTTTGGTGTAATCCTATGAAGAGTCACTGGCTCAACTATTTCACTTCTGAGCAGACAGTGGCAAGAACTGTTCAAACTGAAAAAAAAAGGAGTAAAGTCCTTTCAGTAGGTGTTGTTAATGATGAGAAGAATATGTTGACACCATCTGTGATAGTCTAATTCTGACTAAAATAATCTCAAACACAGATGTGCAAAAGCGCAAGGTGACCTAGAAGTCTTCAGCAGAAAAAGTTTGAAAAATCATGATGTGTTTTTTTTTTTTTTTTTGTAAGGCTATTTAAGAGGTTAGCCTTAGATGAAAATGTGTGTCTACATTCTCTGAGGCATATTTAAAAATCACATACTAAACTGTGAGCTTGTATACTAGATCCACCTTCTGAGTCAACTTAAATCACAAAACAGACCTCCTCTGTGGTCAGCCAGCCATCACTCCCTTAAATGCATACTTGCCTATGTAGAGTTATGATATATGAATACATGAAAAAGAGCATGTTGCACTTCTAATCACTACCTCTCACCTGGAACTAAGTTCAGACAGGACTGCTAACCAATGTTTACTGTTTGCATTCTCATTCCCAAGAAAAGAGCCCGTCACAGTTATGGACTATATAACCTACTCAGGGTGGTGATTTTTTGCTCCCTGAAAAAGCTAAGAGAAATATGCACCTCTTGAGTAACACGCTTCTTTTCACATGGCCTGGAGGAAGGCCAGCCTGCATTTCTTGTCTGTACAATCCTGCTCCATGTTTGTTACACTTAGGATCTACCTCCAGTATATGTAATTCCTGATGCTATATTTGCATAATTCAGGCATTCTTCCACTACCTAATATGTTGCTTAACATTATTTGATGCAGCTTAAACAGCTATTTAAGTATGTAGAAATAGAGGTGAATAAAGAGAGAAAAAAAAATCAGTGTTTGGAATGAAAAATTACCTGGTGATATCAGAACAGCAGACGAAAACAAGGCAATCTCCTCCTCAGTCAGCTGTAAGGAACATAAATTCTTTGCAAAGTCAAATGCTTCATTTACCAGATCATCAGAACCTGCAGACCAAAGAGAACAAAACCAATGCTAGAAATCAGCTTTTCAACCTGCAGGGATTGTTTTGGTGTCAGAAAAAGTTGTTCCTGAATTTCTGTACTGTTAAAGCAAGTGCTTTTTATTAACTACTCACATTCCACTGAACCTGAAAATGGCATTAAAATGTACACTGAAGCAAAAAAAAAAAAACCAAACCAAGAATTAGGATGAAGGACAAAAATTGCACAGATATCTTAGAAGAGAGTACTCTTTTCCCTTGCTCTGAGGCAAAAATTGGTATTTCTAAACAGGTATGAAACCTAAGGAGGAGGAAAGACCAACCTAAATAATATTAATATATAATTTCACTAACAGTACAAATGTTTATGAAAATTTGCAAAAGTATCATAAAGGTAAAAATAAATCAACCAATACATATTCATAGATGCTTTAAACTTGTAAACTAGTGGTATGTTTATGATACACACAAAGAAAAAAATATATATGATAAATATAGACATTTGAAGGCAGCATCTCTCTTCGAGTTTGGTCCTGTACCAATTTCTGATAATATCAGTCTGATGGATGCACAAAACACAAACATTTCACTATGAACATTTCAGGTAGCACTAAATATCATGTTGAGAAACCAAGTAATTTTTTCAGTACATGAATCTAAATGAGTTTACTTAAAAGTTTTAGGCAGAACCGTATTTTCAGCAAGTTGTACCAGCTCATTATTTTAGTCTCCTCATTCCTGGGGTTAAAATTGCCTTCTGCAGGACACCATTAGTGGGAGGGATTTGAAACATCAAGCGTAACTGAACAGTAAAGATAAACAGCTTGGCTCCTGCCATAAACACATGACTCATCAAAACTTCAGAAGGCACGAAATCTATTTGGAAAAACCTCCTTGCTGTTCTTTTTTATTAGAGAAAAACACCTATCATTGCTAGCAGCTAATGGAGTCACCTTTTTTTTTCTTTTTCTGTTCCAACCTGGGCATTTGGAGACTTGGGCATTCAACATTTACTGGAGATTTCCACTGTGGATCACAACTCTCATAAAGACAAATTTCTTGCTATGTGGCTCATTGCAACTGGTTGAAAAAAAGAAGAGCAACATACCCAAAGCTTTAAACATTTGCATCCCTCCATACTTTCCTTCAAACAGAACAGTATTGTTAAGTGGGTTGAAGGCACGGCACATTCTCACCAAAACCACTTCCAAGCAGCCTAGCAGACAGAAAAAAGAGCAAAGGTACCAGGTATTATTGCCTAACATCAGAGCACAAAAATCTCAAAAAGATATTTATGAAGCCACCAGTCATTAGAAACACCAGAAGGGACAGACACCCTTTGAAGACATCTAGATTATACATCTATGAATGTGAGAAAAAATATTTCTGTCTGCTTTGAGTACAGGAAGGGGTAATTTCTGGTCCAGTCTAACCACCTTTTCTATAGGTTGACTTTTTCACCTTTTGCAGAATATTAGCAGCCTGAACTGAATCAGAAGTTAGATCTTGGACAAATAATTTCAGCTTGGAATACTTTATCCTGAAAAATAGGCATTTATTGAAACTCCTTTTTAATAGTTAAACTTTTTTTTTTAAATAGCAAAAAGTAGCTTCATTTGAGGCCCCATAAAAAAATGCCAGCTTGTTTTGGCTGGAGAGGGAGAACACCACAAAGCATTTTTAGAAAGAATGTACAAGTTGAAGCGCTGCCAAGAGCACCCTTAAAATAGGTTTTACTGCTTGTTTGTTTTTCTTTTTCTTTTTTACCGGTTGTTGAATAGAGAGAGAAACACTTCTTTTTTTTCACTCCTTATTTCCTAACTGCAAAAATATGCAGTCAGGAAAGTGGAAGGAAGAATTTTAAGATCCCTTAAATAAATCCAGATCTCCTGTAAGATGAACCCTGAATCTGAGGATACTTCTGCAGGCATGCTTTTGAGAGAAACATCCTCATTTTCTAACTCCTGGTCAGCATTAACAGCAGAAGAGAAAATAAAACCTGACATATTTTTATAAGCTATAGCTTAACAATGTTTCCAACAGTAGAAAACATATTTTTTTCCTGAAGGTGCAGTTGTGTTGTTAGCTTTGCCAGTCAAATGAAATTTCCTGGGGGCCCACTGGTATCTGCAGAATTTTCAAAATTAGTACGAGATGAAAAAAAAAAAAAGTTTTTGTGCTATAACTCCCTTTTTCTAGGAGGTTGCCTATGTGTTTCCTGTGTCTCTGTATCACTTCCCTTTGCAGCTGTTCCCATGATCAGAGCCCAGTCCCTTACCAAGACACAGCCATGGTGCTCATAACGCCAAGCTTGTGGGTTTGATTCCCCTATGGGTCACTTAAGAGCTGGACTCAATGATCCTTGTTGCGTCCCTTCCACCTCAGAATAGTCTGTGTTTCTGATTTTGCCACTGAGGTTAGCTCAGATGATTGGAGTATGGTGTTAATAATGCCAGGGTTGTGAGCTTGATCTCCATTTTGATCTCCAAAATCTGGCATCAATGACCCCTGTGGGTCCCTGTGGGACTCAGAATAGTCTGTGATTTCTGTGTATGGAGCGCTGAATCACACAGGTTTAGTGAAGAGATCTCTCTTCAAACAGAAGCACTTAAGTTTTAACAAGCTGCCTCACACAGCATCTTAGCTTTCACACATGGACAGAGGAAGAAACTGATATGACAGGGTAAATGTAGTTAATTATCAGGCGTGGTTCTTGTGGTTCACTTAGTCATGCCATTTTGTCCTTCTGGGCTTGGCAGTGCTACTGCACAGTCACGATAAATCTTGTCAGGATTCTTTTGGAGGACAGAAATTACTGAGTCCCTTGATATGAAAGGAAAGCCTTTTTCCCCTTGCCCTTATGCACACACATGCAAACATGGCATGCAGAGAGAGCATGGCTGGAGCACACTGCCGTAATCTGCTGTCATTTATTCTGAAACCAACTGGCACCAGCAGGAATTTTCCCTCCTGTGCATTGGCTGTAGAGTATTTCTGTAGTCTCATTAAAAAGATTAAAGATGACCACAGAGGCAGGCCCCAGTGAGCCTGCCTTCACTTCATTAATGACAAGTGGAGATTTTACAGGGTGGCAGATGACTGATTCAACCACCTCAATTTTCAGGCTCCTTCCACCACATGTCATGTTGGAGACTGCAGTTTTTGCAATGGTTGTGTGTGTGTGTGTGTGTGTACTTAATAACCACAACTGACTGTAAAAGGAAGGGGATCAGAAGGCAGTAACATCATCATGGTGGAAAAATACAGCAAGGTTAATGTACTTAATGCAACAGACAGAAATTAGGGCTCCTTCAAAATTAAAATGATTTGCAGGGAAAGACAGAAGAGCACATTTCTAGGGTGCTGGGTACTAAACTAGTCTCAAGCCTCTGGTGTTTACCCACCTGACTTAAGAAGGAGAATTTGGTCATTCTGGCAGAGCTCCATGAAGCCTGTTATGCGCTTTGCAAACTCCACCACATACTGGATAGCATGGGTGATCTGAATGGCACACTGCTGCCACAGAGCTTCTCTTGTCTTCCAGGAAAACACACATGGAAAAGCAAAGCGGTGAGCAAGCAGGTATATCAGTGCAATAAGTTCTTCAGGTGGCCTCGAAGACAGCAGCACTCCCCACACTCCACCCCATGCCCAGGCAGAGCTAGCAGCATCTCTTTTTCTCTAGGTACCCAACAGTTCTCCTTAGAAGGCTGTTTTCACAAGCCATGGCCCCACTCATCTGAACTCTGGCATTGCCCCTTCAAAGGAGCAGAATGCACTGCCCAGTGTTAAGATGTGGTTATGATGTTGGCTTTTGTGAAGGACAGACTAATAGTGGCACAAAAAATGTACACATTCCACAGCAGTCTTAGGCAAGAAGTGGAACAATGCTATTAATTTACTCAACAGAATATTTTTCCTAGTTTGAAACTTAAAATATATAATTGAAGTATCTGAATACAGATTACATAAAAATTTGGACTTCCTGATAATAATTTTCCTTGCACACACATGTGTGCAAATATAAACGGATGTTCCTGGTTTCATGCCACAGCTCTGCAAACTATGGTGTGTTTTTATTCCTGCTAATCCTGCATAGCCCCTCGGATTTCAAAGAACAAGCTGAAGTCTCTCCTGTGTCTTACAGGACCAGCTAACATGCCAACTGAAGTCTGACCGAAGACTGATCACTAATGAAGTCAGTGCAAGAGGCACAGAGATTTCTGCTGACAGAACTACATCTGAGGACGTGCCTGGGGAAGACAGACTGAGCTTGATCTGAGAATTGCAGGAGCAGAACAAAAATGTAGGGCAATGAGATAGTTTTTCCACCCAACATTAGAAAGCTTCAGTTTAAAAAGTACTTTCAGTTTGTCATTATCTGCTGTTGTAAGTGACAGGTAACAGTGTTGTAACAAACAGGTGTTTGTTATTCACATAAAAAGCAGATTTGTTTTCAAAATTATAAGGAAACAAGGTTATGTTGTCTAATTTTCTTAAAATCTTTACAACAGAGGATCCAATAATAATCACATTGAAGTTAACAGAATTTCTACATGAGGCTTAGATCTGTAACAACAAACACAGAAAACTGGATTCCATGACCATATCTAAGCTTTAACATTACAAAGACCCCAATATGCTGGAAAGCTGTTGCTTCTTTTTATGAAGTGTCACTCCTTTGCTTCCAGTAACCAATTCCCCAAAGACAGTGAAAAGTTTATTTTCACCTGTATGAATCTCAACAGTGTATTTTTGCCAAATAAATTACTCTGTTAACAATTTCGAGCAGAAGATAAAGCATATTACAGGATGGTACCTTGCTCTGGTAAACTTTTATTTCTTCATATGTGTGGGTCTGCCATGCTAGCTGATGTAATTCCTCCATTGTATATTGACATGTCTCCAAATGAGATTTAATGATATTCTGTGCAATTCGATCTGTGAAAAAGAGAATGAAAAATAAATTGCATGAAACAGTGAACAGTGATCTGCAACAGCAAAATGTTGACAACAATGAAGTTGTTGGAAAATGCACATTTAGGAAAATTAATCTTTTCTTTTCAATGCTACCTTTATCATTTGTTTTTAATTTGGAAGTTGATTATTGCAAAATGTTTCAATATTCAACCCAAAGCCAAATGATCTTGATAAACAGTGGATCTGCAGACGAAAATAACAATGATTTTTGTGAAACTATACAGAATCTTCATTCTGAAAGTGATTTAATATGTTTAAATAAATTTCATTTGGAGACCCTGTTTACCCAATCGCTTTTGTCTGCCCCAAACCTATGCAGTAACTGGTCGAATCTTCTAGCCTGCAGAAGAGAAGGAAGACTGCTGTTGATTACCAACCCAGCAGGGTACCTCTTCAGGTTTTAGGCCACAACCTCTGCATGAAGGCAGTATCTCCCCTCCTGCTGTGTGTAGGTGTTTGCTTTCATTCCTCATTGTCCATTTCTTTCTAGTTCTACTAAAAAGAACTAATCTGCTGAACTCACTGGTCAGCATGTTTCAAAGCTGCCAGGTCTCTCAAATTGACTGACTGCTTGCACTTGCCATCAACATTTGCATTACCTTGGTGTGACTCAAAAAAGAGTAAACAGGTCTCTTTTTTCTCAAGTTAATTTTAAGCTGCATCATTTTCTGATTGAATTTGATGAGCAAGAACATGGAGACTGGTTTTAGCAAGGGGTAAAAGCTAAAACTAGTATCCTGGGGTTTAGAAGGAGAGATGGAGGACATAAATCTCACACACAGCACTAAGCTACCTTAAAGTTTTTCTGAAAATGCAGCCTTAGAAACTACTTCACAACATGGAATGTAGGATACAAGCAGAAAAGAAAGCATTCAATGTTGCCCTGGAAACCCACTCAAACTATGAGTAAACTTCTTAGACAAGTATTTTAAAGCAGACCTTTGCCCTTAAAGCCACTTGAGTGGATTAAAAAAAAAATTCACAAAAACTTCCAGCATGAATTCATTAGCATTAGAAGCTGAAATGTTGTGATAAAACATGTTACTGAAAACTGATAATTTCCTATTTTGCAACTTTGGGACCTACACATCTAATGAAACTCATTGCTTCAGCCTGGAAACTTTGCTTAAGCCAAACAAAGGAACAATGTTGAAGCCACAGAAGTGAACTGAAGCACTTACAGCAGAACCAGCTTTGCACAGAAAACATTTGTCAAAAAAGGGAAAAGGACATTGAAAATGCATTAGCCAAACCTGAGCTTGGGAAATAGAAAGAACTAGGTATACCACTGTTCACTCGTTCAGCTCCTCAACAGTTTGCATAGAGTGTAGTTCCAAAATAAATCTGCTTCTTTGTCCAAATACTGACTGAACTTAGAAACACCAGCAAGAAGGGAAGCTGAAAAAAGAATGCAGAAGTGCATGCTCCCTGTAAACACTGCTAGAAGAGTGCTGTTTGAAGGACAGATGCCTGTGCTACTCACAGTTAATAAACTGAGACTCAGCAGAAAGGTGCTAAAGATAAAAAAGTTGTAGGTTAACATAGAAAAAATAAAACATGCTTAATTGAATTTGTGCAGGTACCCTTTTATAGATCAACATTATCTTTAGGCTTCCTAATGGAAGAATTGACTCCAGCCCATAGGTAACTAAGAATGCATATTAACAGAGTGATCTACTCACTGTTCTTTTATGGAAGGTTAGATGGAAGTCTTAACCTTTGATGGCAAGATGTTGCATTTTATAATAAAAATCTTGAAGATAAATGGACATTTCTCTTACAATAAATGTCTCACATAATTTCATATTACTGCACAACAGATTTCTAATCAGATAAAATGACCTGATGTCAACAATCTGAAAACACGACCTTTTGATTTCACTGAGTTCAAAATATATTCCATTAGCAGTTCTACACCACTGCAAAGATCCTCAGCTCCCCCTCCTTTTTCTTAGCATTTATGTATTTACCTGAGAAATGAAGAGCTGAGAAGCTCTGCAGGGCTTTCTAGGGATGGCATCCTGTGTTTTACCCCGTGCACCTTTTCCTTACACACTTATGCTTATGTTGAGCTGGCATTAAAACCAATTTAGATGTGCAAAGGCTCGGGGCAATTGCAGCAAGCAGTAGCTCTGAATGCTGACATCCAAAGAGGAATCAGGTGCAAGACAGACTTGAAACTCCTGTGCCGCAGGCTAGGCAAGGCTGAGTGTGTGACGGAAAGGGTACACTGGGTCTCTGAGGAGAAGGGAACTGCTCATTCAGCAGAGGAGGCTGCTTGCTTACATATTTTGCTGAAGTCCCTGGAAGGAGCTTTATGCAAATATAGCCTACAGCTGGGTGGCAGAGCTGACATGATGTAAAAAGTAAAAGAAGTATACACCCGTCTTGGCTTCTCAGATGGTCCAGGAACAGAAGATCCAGCACAGGCAGAGCAAAGAATGTCACTCTTAAGGGGTTCCACAGACCATGGCGTTTGTTTTTAACCCTGACATTGTCAGATTTTAGCATCTTTTTGCTAATGAAGTTGGAATTAGTGCACATCTTGGCAAATCCCAGGGAGAATGACATTCCTAAACCACAGGTAACAATATAAATGACATCTGATGTAAACCTGTCCTATCACAGGTACAGTCCTGTACACAAAATACATTAATTTCTGGGAGACCTGGCAGCTCTGAAATAAGCTGACCACCAAGTTCAACAAGTTAGTTCTTTAACAGAACTAGAAAGAAATGGACAATGGGGAAAGCAAGGGAACATCTATACACAACAGGAAGAAAAATACTGCCCTGATGCAGAGGCCCAAAACCTGTGGAGGTACCTTGCAGGGGTGATAATCTAATAAATAGCTATGCTCTCCAGGCTAGAAGAGTCCATTACAATTACTTCACATATCAAATCTTGACTTTCAGTAGATTTTGTTTTCAAAAATCTGGGGCCATAGATTTCAAGTGTCCCCTATCACTGGGTAACTTGCATGTACACAACTAGAAATCCTGTTTGGATGAACTCCAAGGACTACAAAAGACAACTCTGACCTTGTGACTTCAATGTGAACTGCATTTCTACTGAAATATTGTCAGCTCCCATTTTACGTAAGTTACAGCAGGTTTGCTGTATGAAAAGGAAAACAAAAGAGATTATTCTGGCCACATGGGTGTGAGAATCAGTCTGCAACATTTTATTTTCTAAGGACCAACTGCTCCAACTATTGAGTGAAAATTAATAACTCTAAAGGAGAGGATCCCCGAAACTGGATGACAGTACACCACCAGCCTGTAAATGGCAGGATTTGTGAAGCTTATCTATCTGCCACAGATGTAGACTAGGTGCTTTACTCCTCCCCTTTTGCCTATATACTGGGTTTATTACATTAGGGCTATTAGGGCTCCTCTATTGATCACTTAATACATGAAAATCACAGCATATCCTGGCAGATTTACTCTGTCTGAGAAACATGGTCCACAGAAAATAATGTTCCCAGTATCCAAACTCTGGTATACACTGGGATGTGGAAGCATTTGCATTAGGCATCTTGATCTATATTTGAGGTTTTCTTAGCACTGGTAACTTGAATTTTTTTCTTGAAAAGTGGACACTTTTTCTAAAAATACTCTGCTTCATTTAAAAAAAAAATCTAGAAAGAAGTATTTGCTTCCAGAGAGATAAAACCTACTAAATCAAGGAAACTGTCAATAATTGTAATCAACACTTTCAAAAACCAGAAGCGCTCAAATAAAACACATCATGGGGTGTCCACTTAGATTTCATTACTGTCCTGCATGTCTCTGACTGGTTTTCTATAATGGCCTACTCTTCTAGCTGTAGCCTCATTTGCTCTTAGAGGAGAAGGAAATCCAGATGGTGTTTGTCGGCATGGCTAGAGAGCAGCTGAGAGGTCAGGCTGGTCCCCACTCCACACAGCACAGGGTGTGATGCCCTTCCTGTAGCAGGGCCTGGTGAGGCCTTGAGAGGTGCCAGACCAATGGGTAGATAATTTAACTGGAATTTATAATACAGCAGTTAAAAACATAGAAAAGTTCTATGTATAGTAGGGGATGTCCAGAAGAAGCTGAAAATTGTACATCATGAAGCTGAAGAGGACCACGAGAGATCCATGCTGGAAAGAAATGTTTTTTACATTTGTCCTGGCCTACTTAAAACCGAAGACAGAATCAAGAGACTTGATTCTGTGAGATTGCCTAGCAAAGTAAGCTATGCAGTGAAGTTACTGCAACAAACCTGGATGCCTAGAGATGCATCAAACATCACCTGCCCCTTCCCCTGTGACCTTCCATCCCTAGTGTCTGGGTGGGTAACAGGCATCATGTATGTGCACGAGGTCTGCTCAGTTTCACTGCTCATCAGCCACTGTCTTCAGGGGGGAACATGGGACTGGGTTCCTCTTTTCCCTAAAGTTGTCTGTCTCCTTTGCCTACTGAGTAGTCACTTCTCCAAAACTTGTAGGAACTCAAGTGTCTGAGACTGCTGCTTCACTTCAGTGGAGCTGGAGAGTAGCTAAAGAATCACTGCACAGTCCTGACAGAAGGACTGGGGAGACAGAAAGACCATAAAAGTCCTATTTGATCAACAAAACAGGCCAAAAGCATATGCTGCAAGAGAAGAACAACAGCACATAAACTTGAGACTTTCTGTTTCCAGACTTGTTTGCTCTGGCAGGCTTCCCCCCCCACCCCCCCTCCCCCACAATGCCCTCCTTTTTCTCCTACTGTACTTTCTTATTTTAGATTTCAGGAGTTACCTCACAAAAGGCACTCTCCAAAGACTAAAATTGCTCAAACATTTATTGCATCGGTAGAGTAGGAATTGCTTAAATACAAGTACATAGAGAAAACTGAACACTGCAACCTAGATAGCAATCAAAATCAGCATATCACAGACCCACGGGGGTTCTGCCATCAGCTGATAAATCAGTACTGCCTTTTTCAGGCACTTTC